TTCTTGAAATTTCAATTCTGTCATTTCACAACTCAAGTGTGTCAGAACCCACTTTACCTATTATTATTTCCCTGTATATAGAACAACATATACAGTATACAGTTTTAAATAATTTACCTTGGCTCTTTGTTGATATACTGTATTCAGCAGTTTTAATGCATGAATGTTATTTCGGTGACAATTTCCTTATATTTTATTGTATATGTTTTTAACTGCATTTCATGAGAAAATTTCAGCATTTCATTTTTTATATGTTTTATATACCGCCAAGTACTGTATTCTCATTGTAATGGTTTTGTTGTATTAATAGATCTACCCGGAATTTGAATAAAATAAATAAAAATAAAATACCACAATTTTGAGTGAACTCTGTAATTCATTTATTCTGTAATTTAGAGGCACAAGCAGAGCAATATATAAAACACTTTAAGAGGCCTAAAATTTTTTGAAAAATCTTAACATTAGGAACTATTATCTTTTGGTACATTGGCAAACAATTTTGGCAATATTCTCAAGTTCAATTTCCAATCAATTTTGATTAATTTGAATTGAATTTATTTATTAATCATGTAATTAGAACTACAGGACAAGAAAGGTAAAATTGCAATAAACAACCCTGATTAATAGGATAAGCCATAAAAAGTAACAACTACAATACTTCATGTGGGTCCCATAAAAACGATTTCAAATTGCACAGTCAACAGAGTAAAGAACAAAGCACAGACAACGTCTAAAAAGCAATAAAATGCAATGGAATATTCAGTAAAGCTGACCTAAACATAATGTTTTTAAAATTTGATATGCAGAGAGGAGCATACTGCCATACCAAACAATCTGATGTCTGATGTTTACTGTCGCTTCATTATCAAAGTCAATAAGCTTACAGTGTACTGGTAGTATCGCTATCCATCTTTTACATCTTTTGTTTTCCACTCTGGGCATATATTTACTGCGATTGGGTAAAAATGGAAGAGTACTCATACGGCACGATGCAAAGCCTAGCTGCGCACAAAACGGTAACAAGGACAATCTTCGCGCTGCTGTTGTAGCAGTGATGAGAATTAGTTCATCATCGTAGTCTTTGCGGACGCGATTTGAAGCATTAACAAGACTAAAAAACATTCAAAATTGTATTTTTCTGCTTATTTTCACTGGTTTTGTTCCAAATATAAATTGGCGCTAATGCATAAGTTCACCTCATCCTCAAAATCCAACTTCCAAGTTGTAATTTTCTTAAATATTCATGTATTATGCAAAAACATGCCTTTACCTACACGATTAACACTATTATATGACAAATCCGGCTTGTATTATTAAGGAAAATTCGGTTTTACCGCAGCTCTCTCGAGTGGCGGCCATCTTGTAAATGAAATGGTTGCCAGAATCACATATATACGATTTCTAGTAACATAGGGAATCAATTGGTTAACACTGTGCGCTACTATACCCATTTTGGTTCTAGTTGCGCACAGTGATAATGTATAGGATACAATGAAAGTCAGTTGATGGGCAGTTTATCACTGTGCGCTACAATACCCATTTTGGTTCTAGTTGCGCACAGTGATAATGAATAAGATAAAATTCAATTCAGTTGATGGGCAGTGTATCGAATGCATAAGTTCACCTCATGCTCAAAATCAAACTTACAAGTTGTTGAGTCCTTAAATATTAATGTCTTATGCAAAACAGGCCTTTAGCTACACGATTTACACTATTATATGACAATTCCAGCTTGTACCGTATTATTAATTTAAAAAATCCGGTTTTACCGCAGCTCTCTTGAGTGGCTCCCATCCGATCGCTTCTCGGCAGTTTATCGTTATGCGCTACTACACCCATTTTGGTTGTAGTTGCGCACAGTGATAATGAATAGGATACAATTAAAGTCAGTGACGGGCAGTTTATCACTGTGCACAACTATACACATTTTGGATCTAGTTGCGCACAGTGATAATGTATGGATACAATTGAAATTAGTGCTGTGCAGTTTATCACTGTGCACTACTATACCCATTTTGGTTCTAGGTTCTAGGTTTGTTGTTCAATGGCTGTTGTGGCTTTTCTGACTGAAACGATCGGTATCCCGGTCGAGAAGAAAAACAATTTAACCTGTCTCTTATACACATCTAGATGTGTATAAGAGAACTGCCTTGTTCAGCGCTACCAACATGTGCCATCGTTTCAGTAGTTCAGCTGTATTTTAGCGAAGTGTTGCTTTTTTGTACGTTCACTTTTTACATGTCATTTTAATTTAGCCATTGATCATCATAATAAAATCATTTAATTAACTTTGTTGTTACTATGGCGTTTATGTTTGCTTTCTGTTGCGTGTTATAACAGTTGTTAAACCTTTTTTTTTCAAAGACGTGCACACTCATTCTGTATAAATTAGTATATTGTGGGCCTATCCACTGCAAGACTCTTAATTAAAAATCAACGTAACCATGGGGACGTGTACTTCTACTGTTATTTTCTCAATGAAACAAAACGTGTCGCTTATCCAACGTTGCCATAATGGGGGTGGGGGCAGCGTTATTACCAGACCAACTGTCCGAAAGACATTTCTGAAGGGAATTAGCCTGGATGAAAGTTCTTGACTTCTTACCAGAACACAGTCTTGTCCTTCGATGTGTTTTTAATCAGACATGTGCGCAAGTAGAACCAAAATAGGTATAGTAGCGCACAGTGATAAACTGCACAAAATAATAATAATAATTGATTTTTATCCTATAGGGGCCTACATTATCAATGCGTGCAACTAGAACCGAAATGGGTATAGTAGCACACAGTGATGAACTGCACATCACTGAATTTTATTCTATACATTATCACTGTGCGCAACTGAGACGCAGGGTTCCCGGAACGCCGCCCACAGAGCGGCGAGTGCGAAGCACAACTCAGGGTCAAAAGTGGAACGTGAAATTTGGATATGGTTTTGTAGTCAGATTTGCGAGAAAAACTTCAGCTACCCGTATTTCTCGACT